ATATATACATATACATATAATACTACTAACATATATATATATACATATATATATATATATATATACATATACTATACATATATATATACATATATATATATATATTATAATATACATAATATAACATATATATACATATATATATATACAATCAATTACATTATATATGTATAATTATATGTATTATATATACTTATATATTAATGTATATATAATCATGTATATATATAATGTATCTATGTATAATAATCATATTGTATATATACTAGATGTACTATATTCTATATGTGTATCAATATATGTATATTTAGTATTAATACTATTGTTTTATTACATATATTAATATATATACATATATAATATATGTATTATCTTATATAATTATATAACATTATATATATGCATATATAACTATATCATTATATTGCATATATATACATTATACATATAATGTAGGTATGTATAGGGGCGGTGCATATATCATTACATATATGTTGTATATAGGGAAATATATAAACATATATTATATATATTAAATAATATATATACAACCATATATATTTATATATATACAAGACATATATGTATTAATACATATATAACACTATAGTGGATGTTATAATATATACAATATATCATATATATATGTAATTATATATATGTATGTATATATCTTATTATAAGTTATATAACATTATACATAATATATATACATAATTATATAGTATATATGTTATATATAATCCATGAATATGTGTAATATATATGTATATATATACATATATGTATAAAATATATAATATATATGTGTGTATTAATAGTATATAAATACTAATATATGTATAGTACTATTCATAATTATACATACATATATCTCATTATATGTATATTATACGATATAGATATATAATATGATATGTATATATATGCATATATATCGTATAATATATATATTGCTATATATATAACGTATATATATGTATATATAGCATATATGTATATATTATATAAACTAAATATGATTATATATACATATATGTATGTAATATATGTATATATACAAACATAAATATGTATATATAAAACATATATGTATTAACAATTGTATCATATATACATTTATACATAATAACACAATATACCATATATATACTATTTTCAAACTATATATACAATTTTAATACACAATTATAACATATTATACATATATCATAACATATATATATAGCATATATATACAATATATAACTTACATATAATATACACATATACTATACGCACCATATAATATATATACACTATATATAACTATTAAATATACATATATATTAAAAATATACATGATATAACATATATATACTACATATACTATATATACATATTACATATGATATACTAATATATACATATACACATATATATAGTACATAATAATATATTATACATACTATATACAATAATATCAATATATATATTAAATATATATATACATATATATATACATATCATATATAAATATATATATACATAATTATACATATCCATATATAATATATATTAATATATACATATATTATATACATACTATAGTATACATATATATATTATATACTATATATATATATATACAAAACATATAATACTAAAATCTACATAATATATACCTATACATATAATATACATTATTATGTACACACCAAGTATACAGGCTAATAATACAATGTACCTAAAAACAGGCACAACAGGCAAAAAAAAGAGATAATAATCAAACAAACACACAACACACACACACACACAACACACATAATTAATATATATTATATATATATATATTATATATATATATATACATATATATATATATCATTATATAATATATATAATAATGTATAATATAATGTATATATATGTAATATATATGTATAATAATATACATATCATATTATATATATATCATATTTATATATAATACATATATATATATATAATATATTATATATATATATATATATATATATACATACATAATTATAAATATACTATAATAGTATATATATACATATATATTATCATATATGTAATTATATACATTATATATATATATAATGTATATATATAGCATATATATATTACATATATGTAGTATATAATGTAATTATACTATATTATATAAATATATAATTATATAATAATCATATATGTATATATATACAGTATATATACACATATATGGATGTATATATATTACATATATATATGTATCTATATATGCGTATATGTATAATACATATATGTATAGGTATACTATATTATATGTATAGTCAACAAACACACTTGATTATTAAACACACACACCAACACCCAACAGCACATCACCATATATATATAGTATATATATATACATATTATACATAAATATATATTTATTTTTTATTATATCTTTTTTTTATAAATAATATTATAAACATAATATCATAAATATACATATTACATATATAATAATAAAATATATATACATATATATACATATATAAAATAATAATATAATACATATATATACATATATAACTATGATATATACATATATATAACTAATAAAATTATATACCTATAATGATACATATATTACATATTACACTACATAAATAAATATAATATAGTATACATATACTACTATTTATCATTTATATATTAATCTATATATATACATATATATATACATATATATCTACAGTATATAGATATATATATACATATATATATACATATATATACATATTATACTATATGAAAATATAATACTATATAAGATACCATAATATATACATACTTATACATAATTAATAACAATATATACATACATATATATCTATATTTAACAACATACTACTACATACACCTATATATATACATATACATATAGTATACTATATATATAATATATTATACATATCATATATATATACATACTATAAACATATATATATTACTATATACATGTATAACTATATATTATATTATATTATATATATATATATAATATATTATAATATATATAATATATAAATATATTATATATATAATATATATATTATATATATATAATATATATATATATACTATATATATAATATATATATAATATATATATACATATATATATATATATATATATATATATATATATATTATAATATATACTATATATATAATAAATATATATATATATATTAATACATATATATATATATATATAATATAGTATATATATATATATATAATATATAATACATATATAATATTATAATTATATATATATATATACATATATATATATTATATATATATATATATATTATATTATATATACATATAATAATAATATATAATATCAGTATATTTAGTTATAATATTTGATATATATATTATATATTATACACATATATATATAGAATATAATACATTACATAATAAATTATATTCAATATATAGTATATTATCACGTATAATCACAATATATAATACTACATATATATCCATATCATAATTAAATATATATATATAACTATATATCATATATAATACAATAATATAACATATATATACTACATGTATATACATATTATATACATATATATATCATATATATATATACATATATATAGTACATTAATATATACCATATATATATACATATAATACATATAATATCATGTATATACATATATATAATATATATATATAATATACATATACATATATATGAGCATATATATATACATGATATACATATAAATATACATATAATATACTACAATTATATATATATATATAATATTATATATAATTATATATGAATATATATATAATATATATTATATAAATTATATATATATATATATATATACTAACATATATAATATATATACATTATATACATTATTAATATATAATATATATATATAATAATATATATACTCATATACTATATACATATAATATATATAATAATATACATAAATTAATATATATACATATATATATATACATAATACACATATACATATATATATATATATATATATATATAAATATATTATATAATTATAATACCTATATATAGTATACATAATTATAATATATACATTAATATATATATATATCATCAATATATAATATAGATATATATATTATATATTTATATATATAATATAAATATATATAATTATATAATATATACATGCATATATATATATACATATATATATATATTGATATATATGAATATATTATATATATATATAAACAATATACATATATACTATATTATATATATATACATATATATACATATATATATACATATATACATATACATGTAATATACATATTATATATTAATAATACATATACATATTATTATACACAATTATAAATATATTATAATAATACTATATATATAATCATATATATATATATATATATATATATATACATATATATATGTATATAACATATATATATATATAATGTATAAATACATATATAATATATATATACATATATATACTATCTTATATTCATATATATATACATTATATTATATACATATAATATCATATATTATATCCATATATATATATACATATATAATATATATATACATAATATTATATAATACATATAATATATACATATATAATACATATATATATACATATACATATATATATCCATTATATTACAATATATTACATATATAACTTGATACATATATATAATATATATACATATATATATATATAATATTTATATATATACATACATTATAATATATCATCATTATATATATACCCATTTATATATTATACATACATTAATAATATATATATATATAATAATATATATTATATATATAATATATATAATATATATTATATATATACACACATTTTCTCTCCCTGTATTTATTGCAAATTTTTTCTCCAGTATTACTGTACCTGCAGTTAGAGTGGGTGTGACCTCAGAGAATGGTGACTGTGGTTCTGTGTGGCGAGCAGAAGCTGCGGCTGCACTCTGAGGTGACACACACATGGGCACACAACGCCGCCTCTTGTGGGGTCGAGGGGTGCATGTACCATGGTGAAGGGGATCAAATTCTAAGGACCTTTTTAGAGTTACGCATGCCATGGTAAAATATGTTGCCTGCAAATGAGAAAAGAAATCAATTATGATGCTTAAGGATTTGCTGCAACTTATCCTAAAGCAAACAATGCATTAAATCTACTTCAGCTACTTTAGCTTAGATAACACACACACACACACACACATATGGCCTGATTACCAGTATTATCTGTTATTTCAAGAAATTCAAAACTAGTCATATTGGGTGTGTGCATATGCTTGCCTACATGCATGTGTGTGGATGTGCATGCAAACATGTGTGAATAAATATATGTGTGTGTGAATGTGTGTTTGAATGTATGTGTGAATGTGTGTGTGTGTGTGTGTGTGAATGTGTGTGTGTGTGAATGTGTGTGTGTGTGAATGTGTGTGTGTGTGAATGTGTGTGTGTGAATGTGTGTGTGAATGTGTGTGGTGTGTGTGTGTGTGTGTGTGTGTGTGTGTGTGTGTGTGTGTGTGTGTGTGTGTGTGTGTGTGTGTGTGTGAGATGGAGATATAGAGATCGAGAGAGAGAGAGAGAAAGAGAGAGAGAGAGAGAGAGAGAGAGAGAGAAGAGAGAGAGAGAGAGAGAGAGAGAGAGAGAGAGAGAGAGAGAGAGAGAGAGAGGGAGAGGGAGAGAGGGAGAGGAGAGAGAGGGAGAGGGAGAGAGAGAGAGAAGAGAGAGAGAGAGAGAGAGAGAGAGAGAGAGAGAGAGAGAGAGAGAGAGAGAGAGAGAGAGAGAGAGAGAGAGAGAGAGAGAGAGAGAGGGAGAGAGAGAGAGAGAGAGAGAGAGAGAGAGAGAGAGAGGAGAGGGAGAGAGGAGGAGGGAGAGGGAAGGGAGAGGAGAGGGAGAGGAAGGGAGAGAGAGAGAGAGAGAGAGAGAGAGAGAAGAGAGGAGGGAGAAGAGAGAGAGAGGGAGGAAAAGAGAGAGAGAGGGAGAGGAGAGAGAGAGAGGGAGGAAAGAGAGAAGAGGGAGGAAAGAGAGAGATGAGAGAGAGAGAGAAGAGAGAGAGAGAGGTAGAGAGACAGAAGAGACAGGAGAAAGAGCGAGAGAGACGAGAAGGGGAGGAAAGAGAGTATGTAGAGAGATGATATTGATGTTTGGGCACCCACGAAGTAGTTATGGATTGCTGAGATGATTTTGTATGATTTGAGTATTGATGGAATTGTTTGTTTATTGATTGATTCGATGGTTAGTATGAGAGTTTATCGAGATGGAAGAGAGTTATGAGAGAAGAGATTGTTAGAGAGGAGATGATTTGTATTGGAATGAGTAGAGAGTGTTGAGTGAATCGTTGTACTTTGTGAGAGAGGAGAGAGAATGAAAGAGTGCGAGGAGAAATGAAGAGAGAAGGAGGAGAGAGGGTGGAGGTAAGAGTAAGAGGGAGAGCAGAGACGGAGCAAAGAAGAGAGGAGGAGGAGAGAGAGAGATGGGACGGAT